GAGTTTAGTGTTTTTTTTAAACTGTATTTAGCTTCCTTCAGCCGACATCGATTTGGTCAGGCCGCCCCACTTATAAACACTAGTCTAGACAAAGTCACACAGTCGGTACGCCTCAACCTTGCTTACCGCTGGTTGAATTCAATTAGTACCCTGCTGTGTTTTATGTACTTCTCAGGGGAAGAAAGTGAGGTGGGCGAGACCATTCTGGCTTTGCCGAAACAGCGGTGCTGGAAGCAGACCCTAAGGGGTTGCCTCCCTGCCCTTTGGAAAACAGCCCCTCACAAAACAGGTGCGCCAAGTGTGCTTGTTTTTGCTTCTGCACACATGCACACAGTAGTTGTCGATCCAAAACAACTTCGAGCTCAGTTTAGCTTGTTCAGCAAGCTGAGGCAAAACATGAATTCTCCCTTGACCTTTGTCCTGGTTACTGTACTTGATAGTAAAGTTAGGAGCTGTCTCTGTGCCACGGCCACTCCCTACACACATTTTCCCAGCTTAATAGTGGTTTGTTTCTGTGAACTTTCACCTCAGGTTGGGGGACAGACTCCAGAGTGGGTGTTTTTAAATTGGGGAGTGAGTGCCACCATGTAATTGTCTGCGGGATCCAAACACACGGGGAGGAGGTTCTTACCTCATAACCCAGAACGGATGGATACAATGAATCCCCCAAGCCCCGCCCACAAAAGCAACCACCCCCTCGGCCACCACCCTCACTTCCCTCCTGCCCAATTTAAAGGGCTTCAGCTGATCGGTGGGGACCATGTGGCCCGCCGATCAGCTGGAGGGCCCTTTAAATCTAGCAGGAGAGAGAGAGCCTGTGGCAGCCATTTTGTGGTTGTGCCAATCGCTCTGTGTCCAAATTCCAAAGGTGCTCAAAGGTTGAGGAGCCTTGCCTAAGCCCACTAATCTAAGACTCTCCCAAGAAATACTACGTTTAGTGTCAGTTTTCAGATTTTGCTTTGACTGGTAAAGAGCACAGTTGTAGCTGTAAATGTTTTGGAGAGGGGTGTACAGAGTATCGTTTGTCTGAAAAGGCATCTTGTTAAACAGGCCTTCTGCCTGAAACGTTAAAGATTTACCGTTAAGAGTTATTCATAACCACCTGCAGCAGCCATTTTGTGGCTGGCTTTGCCTCCTGCGGCAACCATTTTGTGGTTGGCTTTGCCTCACGTGGCAGCCATTTTGTGGTTGTGTGTTGGATCCCCAAGCATCGAGAATAAATCCACGTGTTCATTCCCCAGCCTCTCTAGTTAAAGGACCAGGCTGCAGGTGATGTGGTGGGCCTCTGCCTAAGACCCTGAAGAGCCACTGCCAGTCTGAGTAGACAATAATTATAATGATCATGTGGCATTGTGTGTAGAATAGCCAGGAGGTCCTAAGGTTTTCTGACCGCCAAAAGTTGTAGCGCTTTAGCATTATGCACCACTAGGTGGCAAGCTAGACTGGGGGGGTTTTTTGATATTTTTTGTGTTTTTTTAATGTGTGTGTGTGCGTGTGCACACCTGGAAGTCATGGCGACCTCCGGTGACCAACCCCTCCTGGGGGCCTGGAGCATATTCAGAGAGGTGGCTGAGTAAAGCCTGCCCCCGCCTCCCGACTGCTGGTATTCCAAGGAGGTCTCCCATGCAGGTACTTACCCGAGTCGGCCCCGCTTAGCTTCCGAGATCTAACGAGATCAGGCTTGCCTGGGCTATCCAGGTCATGGCGACTTGTTTTTTAAGGCCAGAGACGTTTCAGAGTTGGTTCGCCACTGTCTGCCCCTGTATCACGACCCTGGCATTCCTCGGAGGCCTCCCTTCCAAACACTAGCCAAGGCCAACAATGGACCAAGAGTCTGATTCAGTCTTAGGCAGCTTCACGTGTTCATAATCGTGTTTCTCCACATAGGCCATTTCCTTACCCATGCAAGAGACTGGCATCGATAACTTCAAGGCAGCCTGAGGCTCCTCTTCACTTCGTACCGGGCGTGTGCTAGCTGGCTTTTGCTCTTCAGTTCATACATGCAGCTGGCAGGATCAGGAAAACAGCTCTTAGTCGGGGGCGACTCCAGTGTCAATTTTCGTTGAAAGCACAGCTGTTGCCTCCCCGCTAATCCTGAAGTTTCTCTGCTTCTGTAGTGGGACAGAGAGGAGATGGGGAACGCCATTGCACCAAAGCCGTAGTCAGGGGTCATTTCGTAGAAAAAGAGGTGCAGGAGATCATTAGCATAACTCGTTAGCATAGCTTATTTGCATATGCCACACCCCCTGACATCACCGGAAGTGTGTCAGAAGGCAACACCCACCGCTCAGGCTCCACTGGACTGTTTTGGATTGCTAGCTATTGGGGGGGGGTGCAGATCTGTCCTAGCTGTCCTCGCAGAGGAGGGAGAGCT